GTGCTAAGTTTTTTTCTTGTTTGCCGTTGAAAATTTTTAACCATATATAACATAGCCTCATTCCACGTGTGCATTTGTGTATGTTTAAATGTATTCGACCATTTGTAATATCATTGTCTAGTATTTTTTTTACTTTCTGTCATTCGCTTGTTACTAAGTAGAGACACTTATTATTTGATCAATATTATCTATTTTAAAAGAGAAAAACACACGAGTTTACAGAGAGAAAATAAACGTTGTTACAATTACGACTGCTGTTACTACTACTGTCGTTGGTTTTCATTATCAGCTGTCAAGAGTGACTCTAATTTTTTTTTTTCGAACATAGAAAAAAAAAATGCAGAAAAAAAAAAGAAAAAAAAAATGCAGAAAAAAAAAAGAAAGAAAAAATTATTAAAAAGCAATTGTATGCTATATATTCTTTCATGTTCTACAAGAATAGACAATGACAATAGCAGTAATCCATGAAAACAACAACCAGTGTAAAATATGACATATATCTGTTTTCCCTCCAGTCATTAACAGACTATACAATTTCTTCTAATAACGTAAAATGTGCCGTTTTGATTTGCATAGATATATAGACAATCTTATTCTTTTTTTCTACGTATATAATAATACATGAATTTTCCAACGAAAGACTAAATTTCTAACTTACCTATCTTAATTTCTGATGTATTGACAACAAAATTTACGCAATACAAGTCACCAGTTCTATTCTTTTCTCAATCACATACAACAACTTGAATTGTTTTTCATTATAAAAAATCTGACATTGTGCCTTATGATTATATGCGAAAGCGCACAGAATAATGGAAAGTAATAGAACGGAACAAAATTTTTAAAAAAGAAAAAACAAGGTCATAAACACATTTAAACCAGGTCATATTCATTTCATCCCAGGCATCGACAAAAAAAAGAAAAAAAAAAAACATAAAATCATTTGAAAATATATTCGTATCTATATACACTAGCAAGTCATTTATAAAATTATTTGATCAGTGTAGTTTAACCATCTTTTCAAATAAAAAATTATCTTCAATATTAAAAACAAATTCTGTTTCTTTATTCATCTTGATGAACTGTTAGTTTATTGCACGATTGTATCTGATAGGATCCTGCCATTTTATAATGCATCATTACCAAATTTTAGTGGAAACTGATTCCACTTAAAATTACAAAATATAGGGATAGTTTATTTGTCAAACAAATTATGTATCTTGTGAATCATAATCAATACAAATCATTAATTCATAGAATCTCTAAGAGATATATATTTTTGTATTTAAATATATTTGAAAATCTCATCGGTAGCAAATCTTAATTTAAGCATTTGATCTATCCGATATGACATAGAATTTTTTTATCAGTAATTTGTAGTAATAATATTGAAAAAAAGGTTGACACCTTGCAGAAAAAATCATTCATTCCAATATAGAAACATATTATAGAAATCCAAAGTATTCAGAAAATATGGCAAAAATGAAGTTGACGAATGCTTTGTAATATATTAAAGGTACACCAAAATAATTTGGATTCTTTGAAATATAAATATTTTTCTTTTAATAATAAGAAAAATTTCACATAGTAAGGTTATGTACACATTCTACAAATAAGACACATTTATTGAATTCAATTTTGAATATAAAGAAACTATTCTTGTAAACTAGAAAGATACATCTGAGTTGTGCTATAAGGAATAGAAAAAGAAAACAAAAAAATATTTATACACCGTCTCTCATTTCAAAAATAAAAAATAGTGTAAGAACCTGAGTACAAAAAATAGACGCTACATGACATAAGCAATAAGATCATTTATTAACAGGAATAAATGTGGAATGACATGATAAAAAAATAAGAAATAAACGTAAAATAGTTAAATTTAAATAGAACAATTTAGTTTACATTTGTTTACTTGACGAATATGCTGATGCTAGAGGAGTTGTGTTTACTTTGGGTGCTTGATGCTGTCGATTATCACTAAATGTGCGTGTTGATGGATTTTTAAATTGTCCTGTAATAACGGTGCTCGATGGACGTTTTGTATTATCTGTAATATGTGTATCACTGTCATTGGCATGTAATGATGTTTTTATTGATGATGATGAACCGATTGGTGCACTATGAATATTTCCAGCTGATATTGATGATTTTAATACATTTCCACTTGTTATAGTTGAAGAATTACCAAATTGAAAATATTTTGGATCGATACGTGCACTAGAATGAAAATACATACAAAATAAAATTTATTAACAAATATATTATAAAAATTTACTGTTCTTTGTCTTTGGTTCGAAGTTCAGTATTCGTTGCACTATCACTATCATTATTCATCGTTGACGTTAAACCATTCTGAGATGGTGGTATTGTTTGATTTTTATTTATCATACTGTTCGTAGTATTATTATTAGATACATTTGATGATGTAGGAATTTGAGAAGTGTTCATTCGCATATAACCATTTCCATTCAATGATGTTGGTACATGACTCTGGAATAAAATTATACATAAATGAAATATCATAATATTCATTATTGTTTCAATTACTTGTGGAGGCATATAGTGTGCTTGAAGACTACCATACGGCGTAATATGACGTGTATGAGATTGATCATTTCCATTCATTGTATTCGTCTAGAGAAAAAAATGAGCAGTATAATGCACAAGATCATTCTTCAAACGTTATAATCAGATGAAAGTTCATTCGAATCTAAGTTTCAATTTTAATAATAATATTCATGTAATCAATGAAGTCTTGTAGAAATCGGTAAGATATCAGAGAGCAATGATCAACATACCAGAAATGTGTTTGGTCTAAAATGGTTTGTTGCTAATGATGAATCTAACGTTGAACTGTTGTTTATCCTTGACGGATGAATATTTTGTTCTGTTATTTGTTTATTCAAATAGGTTAATAATAACTCATTCTTTTTCAATAAATCTTTTGCTTCAATTAATTGTTCATTTAACTTCTGATTTGTTTCATTTGCCTTTTCTACTTTACTATTTGATTCATTCAATTCTTTCTGAATATTAGCCATTTCACGTTCTTTTTCTTGTAACAGACGTTCTTGTTTTGTAGCAATTTGATCTTTTGTTTTCATCTAAAAACCAAAGAATAAAGTCAGAATTTGAATGAAAAAAAGTTTTTAAAATTACCTTATCTTTGCATTTGATCAATTCTGTCTGACACGTTTGTAGATCATTCTTATACTTTTCCAATTCATTTCGAAATTTAATAATAATTTCATTTCCTTTCAATAAATCTTGTTTTAATTCTTTTATCTTTTCTAATTTTGATTGAACATTTTCTTCATGTTTTTTCTAAAAAATAAAACAAAGATGTATTCTAAATACAAACTAAAGGCTCTTCTTCTACTTTTGATTCTTGTTCAACTGATATTCTATCTTGTGTTTGTTGTAATATATCTTGTTTGTTTTTCAAATCTTGTTCGACTAATGCTATTTTTGTTCGTAAATGATTAACAGTTTTTTCATACTGATGTACATCATTCTCTAATGTTGTATTCGTTTTACGAAATCGAATTAGTTCATCTTTTGTATTTTGATACTCTTCACTTGTTGTTTTCAATTTTGAACTTAATTCATTTATAGTGATTTCATTACGATATTTTAAACTTGTCAAATCCTAGACATACAAATCATTGATAAATAAACAATGGACAATAATATTTCTGAATTTTACTTTTGTTGAATCTTGAAGTTCATTTAAATTGTCTTGCAATTGTTTTATATTTCTTAGATGGGTTTGTTCTAAATCACGCCGTTCATTATCCAATTTTTGTTGTAAACTTGTTCGTTCCTAATCAACAAATAAACGATGTTAAAATCAAAAGTTTTTCTTGTACATTTATACCTGCAGTGACTTTTGTTTTTCTTCAGCTAATTCTTGCATATGTTTACCAATAATATGATTGTTATTTGAGTTCCATTCTAATTTCAGTTTTTCAAATTCAATACTTTTCTCATTTAATAACTAAAATAGTGTAAAATCCTTAAATATGTAACGTTTTTAAAAAGAAGATAATACCTGTTGTGTATTTTCTAATTCTCGTTTAATATAATTGTATTCATTACACATTCGATCATAATCTTCCTAAACATGGTAAGAACGAATAATGTTTTTTTTTCTTTTAAAAATATCAGACTAATTTACATTTCGTAATTGTAAACGTCGTGCAAGATAAGTTTTTATTTCTTTGTCATTTGCTCGTGTCACCAATAATGATAAATGTGTTAAATGTTTAAACGAACTTATTTCGACAACTTTTAAATGAGTTTGATCATTATTATCATAAGAAAATGGATCTTTTGTCACTAATTGTAACTGAAATCTATATGATAGAAAATTTTTGACGTTAGATCTCTTACAATTACACCACTGTATATGATAATGTATTACTTTGCCGTTGCTTCATTTGGTTTATCTCGTACACATGTTTCTAAATAATCAATTACGTGTTGTGGAAACGCGCTGAAATCAACTAATAAACCTTGTTCTATTTTAAGGCTAGAACAAAGTTAAAACGAAATTAGAATGAATATACTAACATGTGTTTATATCATCTTACTTTTGAAAATCTTCTTCGTTCAAGTGCAATTTATAAAGAAAAAATGGATCTTGTTCATCTGTTAACTTAATAATCAATTCCTGAAGAAAATATATTCATTTCAGTATCTTTCATCCTTCTATTTCAAGTGTTCGCGAATTAGCAATCAATTAGCTGTCAGTAACTACCCTGTGTCAAATAATAGTATGAAAATATAACGCTTGCGCTTTCATTATGTACCTTCGAGTGATGTGACGATGGTAATGAACTAACTGATTGAAATTCGACCGTAATACGAATATTTCGAGCTCTTAAAAGAATAATAGAATAAAAATTTGATATAATTTATTTAATTTTTTTCTTACTTTTCATCTGCCTTTGAATTTGATAGTAATCGCACACCTATAACTTTACTGAACAGCGGTGGTTGTGAATGATTATCAGAGAATGTGGTCATATTATATATCAGCTAACATGTAGTGTGTTATTAATAAATTATAGATGATTTCCACCATGTTCTTTCTAGATGCTGATTTTAACAATGCCAAATCGAAGATTTTTACATAATTCAGAATACAATTCATAAATCTACAAAAATAACGCCAAAAAATATGGAATTTCATTCAACTGAAGAAATTACACAATCTATCTTATAGAATCATTGTGGCACAAAGAACTCTAGCTTTTCTTCTAGGGACCCGAATGGTTGATGAGAAAAATGTTTCTCAAAACATGGAAACTACTACTTTTTAAAATCTTTGGATTTGACTGCGCTCTGAGACATTCAGAAAACCAACATCCAGCATTCTTCTTAAGGGGAAAAAGCGCTACAAGGCAAATGTACCCATTCCGGAATACGCCTATTGTGGAATGCCATTCTGCCATTCCATTTTTTAGAAGTCGAACTTAGCTGTATGTAGACTAAGATTTAGATCAAAACTGAAAACATTTCTTTTATTTCATGTGTTTCATAAAAATTCTTAAGTACTACGTCTAGACTTAAGTGTATAAAATTAACACGTAAGTGTACTAAACGGAGACTTAAGTATGACTTAAGTCTAGACTTAGTTCTATTCGATTCTAAATTCCAACTATATCGATTATCAAGGCAATAGTAAGTTATGCAGAAAACATCGAGTTTTTCTGTGGTGTTGTTGGACAAAACAAAAACTACGATTATGTTTATTATCTTTCTTTTAGGACTTTGCCTCGCATTTGACAAGCAGAAAAAAAATTATTTTCGATTATATTGAATTTGATCTTTCTTGTTATGATTACAGTCTTTTAAACCAAATAGCAAGCAATAAAAAAAAAGTCATAAAATTTTCTGCATGCCAAAATTTTGCCTCGGATTTTTATCGTATGTGATATGAAATGTCTTGTCTGCCTGCGATGTGTAGTGTGCTATGTGCGTGCGTATACAAACAAAAGATCTTATTTGTTTATTAAATAACCAGTCCCAAACAACGTATTTATTCAAAAAAAATTGTCCTACTTGATCTTTTACTTATTATAAATGAAAACCTTCTATTATGGTTTGCTAGTGGATATCTCGTACTCGGAAATGTAGAAGATGTCGCTATGAACATAATTGCCGCATACAGCCACCAAAACGGTAGGCTAGATTTGAAAAGTTAACAGACAAACGGAACTCTCGACAAAGATTAGGAATACGCGATTATCTGTAAATTGGTTCGCGGATGGAGAAAAAATTCAGTATTACTCAGAAAATCTTTGTATTGTTACGAATTACTTAGCGGCGTTTCTTTTGGTTAAACCTTTAAACGCTGTTTCCGAATTTCGTTTTCTTAAAAAGTTTCATAGCTGTATGCCATGTGACATAGGTGCGTTATAATTATTAGCAATAATTTTTTTATTTGGAAGATGCAGTCACAAAACATCAAGGCCTAGTAACCCTAGTTGACTCGCCCCATCAAAGTCCCCGAAAAATGCATAATTTCCGGGGAGTCTCTAAAAATGTATACTCCCCGGGAAGTCCCCAGGGAGTCCCCAACGTATGCAATGTTGTTCCTGCCAACTCCCCATTCACCGCTGGTATAAACTTTATTTGAAAAAGAAAATCTTAATACAGATTCACCGTTTGTTTTGCAGATAGACAATATATATATATAATATAGTTCTATATGATAAAATTTTACGAATTTTCTTCTAGTAAGTCAACGATGTGTCAACCTTCGATGGCTGATATGCGTGCGCTACACTGGTACCAGTGATGGTACCTGGTATTTAATTACTAATTAGTTATATGAAATTAAAAAAGATGGACCAATAGACCTATAGGGAAGGGAGTTCCCAGGTATTTTGAATTCCATGTAATTCAGAAAAACAGAATTTTTATATTAGTTGTCTTCGATTGAAATACAAAATGCACTCTCAGTATAGAAAATCACTACTATCAGTGTCCGACCGACGTGATGGCAAGGTGTGGCAATTGCCACACCAAAAAACTGGTGCGACCACATGGGTGTGTTCTTAGTTTCAAAAGCGGCTGTTTTTTTTGTTCACTACTGGTACTTTTCGAAGTTTATTGCCACACCAAAAAAACGGACTCTGATCCGCCACCGACCGCTATCCATTTCAAGATACAAGAGATCTCGCCAGTTTTGAATCACTTTGACAGAAAAGCGCTGCGAAACTGTGGTTTCCATCACTAGATAAAAAGGCTTTAAACCATCTTTTTGTAACAAAAAAGAATTTGAAAAATCTCTCAAAAACCGTTTTACAAAGAGAACACTGGAAAATCGTTTCATAACTGAAAAAGTTAAGGTAATAATACATTTGTTTTTTTCAC